CTGATTCCACAGAGGCCTGGCTGTTTCTTCTGGGTCTTGCTGTTGCTGCTGATTCATGTTTTCTATGCTGACACTACTGAATTGAAATGTTAATGTTCTGACAACAAACATTGTGTTTGCTCCAAAGAACTATTTCTTTTCTTTTTTTTTCTTTTTTTTTGTTTTGTTTTTGTTTGTTTTTAGAGACAGGGTTTCTCTGTGTATTTCTGGCTGTCCTGGAACTCACTCTGTAGACGAGGCTGGCCTCGAACTCAGAAATCCGCCTGCCTCTGCCTCCCAAGTTCTGGGATTAAAGGCGTGTGCCACCGCCACCCGGTCAAAGAACTATTTCTAAACAGGTCCACTTCCTCCATATTCTGATAACCCTTCTTTTCCACTACATCTAGTGGGTGGTGGGCTAGAAGGAAGGTTAAAGCATTTAAGAGTCCCTATTATAAGCAGGATTTAAAAAATCTAAGCCTCCACATGTCAATAATATACATTCACTCAAGACTTCATCTGCTCCCCATAGGAGTATAATCTGTTTACAGTATTTTTGTTAGGTAAATTCAAGTTAATTACTAAAAAATCTTTCAACTTAGTGTGTATGCATGTGTATGTATATATGCAGGACTCCATGAACAAAGATGGGAGAAAAATTTTAAAAGAGATTATCTTAAAACGTATGTAAGAAACTTCAATTCAAAAGAAGGCCAGAGAGTAAAATGGAACATATCACTAAAGAAGATGTGGGTATGTATAATTTTACTGCTGTACAAAGAGCCTGATTTCCTTGTGACTCAGCTAAGCCCTCCACCCATATATTATAGTTGTGTAGCTTGGTCTTCATTGGGATTCCTAACTGTTGGGGCAGGGACTGTCTCTGATTCTGTTGCCTGCTTTTGAGAGCCTTTCCTCCCACTGGGTTACCTCTTGTAGCCTCAATAAGAGAGGATGTGTCTTGATATGCAGGGCTTGTTTATATCCACAAGAGGCCTCCACTTTTAAAAACAGAATTGCAGAAGTGAATAAGGAAGAGGATTTAGAGAAGAGGAGGGAGAAACTGTAGTTGGGACTTAAAATTAATTAATTAACTGCTTCTATAAACTTCATAATATGCTTTTTATCTTCTTGAGAGTTCTCTTAGGTTTTTGTTTTGCTGGCCTGTTCCCCAAACTTATAATGAATTCAAGGTCTAAAATTTGAACAGATAACTTCAAATCAACACTCTTAGCTGGCCTGAAATAGAAAATTGGCCTTGGAAGACACATAGGCATGATTACACTTTAAAAAATGTAGTTAGAACAAGAAACTAAAAGGACATGAAACTTGAGGAGGCTTGTGGGAATCTGAAGCAAATTGGAGATGGGAAACAGGGAGTGGATATGATTATTATTTCTTTCAACAAGGCCTCACCTCCTAATACCAAACAGTTCCACTATCTGGAGCTCAAACAATCAAACTTATGAGCCTATTGTGGTCATTTTGGCTCAAACCACCACAGTTACTAAGTGTCCTTTTCTAAACAGAACACTCATTATTTATATACAAAATACCACATGAGGGAAGTTAGCAACTATTGTGAGATTATATCTAAAATGAAACTTCAGATTGTAGGGGAGTTTCCCTAATTGTTGATTGGCTACATAAAGACCGCAGAAGCTAATTGCTGGGCAAAGGATAAGGCAGATTTCCTGGCAGGACAGGAAGAGAATGATGGAGAGGACTGGGAGTCGGACCAGGTCGGGAGAGGTTAAGAAGCTGCAGACAGGTAGGTCTCTTGGGACACCAATAGTTTATAGCATCTGCAGGCAACTGCGGAGGCCAAGGAAGATGGGCAGGATATGCTTCGCCCAGCCTGGTCAGTTTTAAAATATAAAGGTCTCTATTGTTTTCTTTCCACGGGGCTAAAGGGAGCTGGGTGAGGCGGCCATTGCGTCACCGGGCAAGCGGCAAGTGGAGACTGGGAGAGCTAGTGTGGGAGCTGAATGAGATCTGGATGGTTTGTGAGTGGGGTGAGACTGGGGTGGTCATTGGCAGCTTGGTGAAACAAGCCAGGGAGAGGTTGAAAGAGCGTGGGCGGAGCTCTTGAGAAGGAGCAAGCTTGGGTGGCCATCGCAGGAAAATGCCTCCTGACAGCATTGCAGCGGCTGTTCTCAGATCATAGCCAGAAAGGTGTTCCTTGTGGGAAACGCAGCTGGGTAGCTGCTAGTCCCAGAGCCTATCCGGTACTAGTAAGATTTTCTAAAATTACACGCTACATCAAGTAGCCACTTGAACAAACTAGCATTTGGTATCAGGTAGCACTCAAGATAACAGCAAGAAATCACACACACACACATACACACACCCCTCAAGTCCTACAAAAGAGAGATTCAAACAATTTGCTCATTTCTGATTTTTGACAAAATCTTTATACTGGGCAACTAAATCCACGAAGCTAATGCTTCACAGAGACACAGGTTTTTGTCTAATTTACCACAGTGGCTTCTTCCATGCCTGGCCTGTGACTTACTTTCAAGTAATTTCTGTTGAACTGAAAGCCTGCTTACTTTAAAACTACCCTTTCTACCCTGAAATGTAGATCCATGGGTCCCTCCAGAACTGAATGCCAAGAAGAGTAAATTTCTGCATTTTAAAATGTTACATTTTGTGATGAGTTTGAGACCTAGGCTTTCACCAAATTTTTAAGATCAAGGAATCCTGCCATCTCATCCTTCACCAAGATGCTGAAACTCTGTGCCACCATATGAAGCTCTGGAATATGCACTCTTTCACAAGCTATACAGACGGCCTCTGAAGTTCAGTCTGCCTGGTTAAAAAACAAACAAACAAACAAACAAAAACAAACAACAAAACCGTCAATGAAATGATTCCTAATAATACTCTGCTATACTCATAGAACGAGTCTAGCATAGCTGTCATCAGAGAAGCTTCATGGAGCAACTGATAGGAACAGATGCAGAGATCCACAGCCAAACATAGGCAGACCTTGGGGAATCTTGTGGAAAGGGGATTGGGAGAGGATAGTAAGAGCCAGAGGGGTCAAGAACACCATAAGAAAACCCACAGAATAAACTAACCGGGGCTCATGGGGCTTCACAGAGACTGAGCCAACAATTGGGGAGCCTATATAGTTGTGGCCTAGGATATGTTATGGTTGTATAGCTTAGTATTCTTGTAGAACATCTAACAGGAGGGCAGGGGATGTCTTTGACTCTTTTGCCTGCTTTTGCGACCCTTTTCCTCTTACTGGGTTGCCTCTTCCAACCTTGATATGAAGGTATATACCTAGTCTCATTGTAACTTGCTATGTTGTGCAGATATCCCTGGGAGACTTGCTGTTTTCTGAGAAGAAATGGAGGCAGAGTGGATCTGGGGTAGAGGTGGGTAGTGAGAGGGACTGGGATAAAGGAGGGAGGGAAAACTGTGGTTGGAATGCAATATATGAGAGAATAATAAAAAAATAGGGAATAAAATTCATCTTTATTTTGAGAGAAAATAAATCTTGCTCTGCTTCACACTGTGCAAACCTAAGCAACAAGCTTCTGACCAATTAACTGTCAAGAGTCCTTGGTTTGCTACCTTCCTTTTGTCACACAGAAGAAAAAAAAAAAAAGCTATCCAGCTTCTTTTTTTTTTTTTTCTCGCAGCGACTTGGGGGTACATGTCTGTCACTTCTGTATTTTGTCTAGCATTATTTCATACTTTGGTCTCCACCCTCATCCCCATTCCTCCCCCAACTCTCTGCACCTTGTATTCCAGAGTAATACTGTATTTCTAATTAAATTTAAATGTGGAATTCTTGTTTATGTCTGTGAACTTGTAATTTCTCAGCATTTCACTTAAGATGTGAGAAAGTTTGTTCCTTCTGCTAAGGACTCTTAAGGACTGTCTAAGGCTGCCTGGGAATTGGAAGCATTCTTACATGCCATGGTGTCTGCTTAGGAAACAGGGGTTCGGTTCGTGCTTCCTCAAGCATTCTGAGGGGAAGTCTTTGCACAACTTTTTTTTCTTGAAAGAGTGCTAGTGAAAGGCATGACTTTATAAAGTGTTTTGTGCCTCCTGCTACAATTTCCTGAACATGTTTGAAAACGTAATGCTTGAGTAAATTGAGATTTTATTTTTCCAGTTTGAGACACACAGGCCTCTTTGAAGAGAAACTTCAAGTCAACCAATGATTAGAGAAGTATAGAGCCTTTTTTTTGCCCTCAATTATGCGAGGATAATTAATAATTAAGCATGGACATGTCAACATGTATACTTAATATAACAGAGTAAGACAGGCAGACAAAATGGCTCAAATCGTAACTGACAAAATACTGCGTCATCTGAAACTCTTGATTTTGAAAGAATGGACTTCCTGCTCCCATTCTTTGATATTAACACCGACAAAACTTTGTGATAAGAATCCCATAATTAAAAAGCCATGAGGATCTCTGGTCTACTGTCCAGAGGGACCTAGGTGTGCCCTGGTGTGGGGATTACAAATCCTTTGACTTCCTGGGGCACCGCAGGCTCTGCCTCCTCTGGACCCCTGGACAGAAGGGGACTCTGGACTCAAGGACAGCGGGTGCGCTCACTTGGCCAGCCCTGTGGCGCTGCAGAGCTCATGGCCAAAGAGCTCTGCACCCTGCTTCTACCATCAGAAACCCCATCCCACTCTCTTGCCTCCAGAGCTACAAGTTGCTTTCGATCCCATGGGCCAGCGGAAGCCATGACCCAGAGACCCACAAGATAATGCGTGAGACAGAACCCTGTAGAACCTGTGACTCGTGGCGCTCCTTGGCCCGGTCTATGCCCCACATCCTGAAGATGAGAAAAGGATCCCCAGGGAAGCAGCATGTGCTCCCGAGGGTCCTGTATCCTGACCCGCCCTCATCCTGGGTTCTCCCGGTCCCTCAGCGCCGCCCCGCCTCCGGTCTCCGCCCCGCGCCCCAGAGCGTTTAGACCTAGCCACCAGCGCCTCCAAGTCCCACTGCCGCCCCAGCCTGCCGCTCCTTGCTCTGGACGCCGAGGCCATGTGGCCCGCTAAGCCCAGCGCCGGGGTGCCCGCACTGCTGCTGTTGGCTCTGGCTTTGTCCCCGCCAGGGACCCAGGGGCGGCCCAGGGGACGCAGGACAGCGCGCGTCTCCGACCTCAGGCCACAGCTTTCCCCACCTGTGACAGGGACTCCCCTGGCTCCCAGAGCCTCCAGGAGCACAGGTAAGCCCTGTCCGCCCCACTTGCCTTTTCTAGAGCCTAACCACTCTTAGAGCTGGACAAGCTGATGTTGGGAAGGATGAGTTAAGCAGAGTGGAGGGTGGACACCTGTAGATTCACGGGAATCATTTCCCTGGGAAGGAAGTAACTGGCTTACTATATTTGCCTTGGTTCATTCGTCTGGAGAGGGGGGCGAGGGGGGGAGATCAGCTTTATATGCTCCTTTCGAACTGTGGGAAGTCTTTTGGAACTGAACTAACTCAAATGTGGAAAGACCTGAGTTGCAGCCTCACCTTCCAGGATGATAGACAACCTATGCATCTGTCAATACCTCCTCCCTCCGCTCTGGGTCTCCTGAAGTTTAACTAACATGGTAGTCCTCAGGCACCCGAACATTCTGGAATCCCTCTTTCTTCTCCCTTCAAAATGATCCCAGGGAATGGGTGACTGACGTGTGGTTCGTGTGGTTCGGTAAGCTGCCAGGGCTGATGCTGGCTTGATCTTCTGTTTTTCCCTGGGTCAGTTAGAAGGGCCCTAAATGCTACCACCTCTTCCTATGCCAACACCGGACATTCTTGCTACCAAGATGCTTAGGAAGAAAGTAGGAAAAAGTTGTCAGGATTGAGTACCAGTACTGCAAGACACCTACACACAGAAATGTGTGAATGAAAAGTAAAAGAAGAAAGCCTGGGGAACAGGAGGTATAGAGGAAAGACTGCTGAGGAGAGTGTAAGATGCTGGCAGGTGGTGGTGAGGAAGAGAGAAGCCACTTTGGGGTGTCTTTGTTTAAGCCTTTATTCACAGAGCAAGATGGAGGCTGGAACAATGGGCCTCTAAATTCAGGGCTAAAGAGCTCTGCACCCTGCTTCTGCCAGCAGAAACCCCATCCCACTCTCTTGCATCCAGAGTTACAAATTGCTTTCGATCCCATGGGCCAGCAGAATCAGGATGCAGAGCTCCCTGGCCTCCTCCACTGAATTTGTTGAGAGGACAAAGCAAGCAGGTCAATTATACCACTGTAGCCAAGGCCTCTTCTGCTCCCTCCCTCCCTCCCTCCCTCCCTC